AGCTCACAAAGGTAAGCTACCTCCTCCTCTGTCTTCTCTTGCCGTTGGATTTCTCTGATTAACTCTCTCCTTTTGATGTAGTGGTATTGTTGTCCGGTAGATGCTGAGGGATCTTTTTGGGTTTGATATAGGTGCCTAATTCTGAAGCCCTGTTGTTGGCTAAATTCTTCTCTGGAAATATCTTTTGTGTGTGCTAAAAGCCTGTTATGTCCTTCCCTCTGCATTAATGTATGTTGATGTTTATCCTCATTGTCTTTATTCGCAGTGTTGATATCTGCGCTTTATCTATATTCATCAAAACTCTGCATTCTTTAGGTAGTTGTGTAAAGTTGCTCACAGTTATCGGAATTTGTTGATTCAAAGTAATGTTCGCTAATTTATCTGCTACCTGATTTGCTTCCCTGAAAACATGTTTCATTATACACCGTGACTCATTTATGTGATGTTTTATCTCCTCGATCTGATCGCTGAGCTTCCAAGGTATTTTCCAATCCTTCAAAATAATATTTCTTAGGCTGATCGAATCAGTTTCAAGAATTATATTTTGTAGTCTTAGATCCCTACACTTCCTTAGCACCATTAGGATTGCGATCGTTTCTGCCTCCATACTAGTAGTAATTCCCATACATCCAGCTTCTGCTTCTATTAAATCCCCACTACTATTTCTGATGCAAAAGGCGTATGCGCTCTCTCCAGGGTTACCCCTACACGCTCCATCCGCATTACATTTTATCCATCCTTGCTCCGGTAATTCCCATCTCACTGCCTTCCAATGTATCTTTGGCTTATAATTCTTCAATATGTGTATTATTCCATTCCATTCATTAGGCAAAGTTATCCAAGGGTATTTTCCTTTCACGAAACGATGAACAGCTACCAGTACTTGCTGACTCATACATTCATAGGAGACTTCTTTTCCATGTCTTCTATTGTTTCTTCTCTTCCATAGCTCCCACATCAACAGGTGTGGTATCGCCTTGTATACGTATCTCAATTTAGTTGGGGCTGGTTCAAACCACCATCTATTTATTGTTTGTTGCAATTGCTCTCCTTCCACATGAATACCTGCACAAATAGCAAAAAATCCCCGTAGCTTTTGGGCTATTGGGGATGTTAGAAATAGGTGAGACATGGTCTCCTGCGCATAATTCTCGCAACAGTAGCACCTTGAAGCCATCGATACTCTCATCTTTCTTAGATTATCCTCTGTAGCAATTCTCCCCTTTGAGATCCTCCATTGGAAGAAATTGATTTTAAATGGAATTTCTTTCAGCCAAATATTCTTCAACCAGTCGTGCTGTGGTTTTCTGTTCCTCACTATATCAAGTGCTGACTTGACCGAAAAAATTCCACTATTATCAGGCAACCAGCATG